ATTCATGACCTCCATCATGTCCCGAACCTCTCTGAAGTTCCAGAAGCTAGGCATGTCCTCCTGGAGAGCTTCCTCCTTCATATAGGTCACCGGATCCCTCGGAGACTCCATCAGATAGGCAGGAGAGATTGACCGATGCCCTGGACCTTCTCCCAAGCGCACCCTGGCCTCCTCCGCCATCAACCATAGTCCAAACTGTTTCAAGACCAACGCCAGGTCCCCATAGGCCAAGTCCTGCTCCACAGCCGACAAGCCATCCAAACCAAAGCGCCTTTCATCTCTTCCTCTCAACGGCCGCGGACCAGGTTCTCGATGCCGTAGTCGAGAGACACTCCTACACGGAGGCCCTCCCACCACTGCCACCACATGTCCAGATCTGGCCAGATGGCACAAGTATCCCCAGGTTCCCACTGCATGCATGTCATACTGGGTGCCCAAGGCGATGTCCACGTTGAGGATCTCATAGCCATTCCAATCTTCCGCTGTCCAGGTCTTGGTGTCCTTTCCGGAATATAGGTGAATAATGACTCCTGGTGCGCGAGCATGCCGTCGTCGTTGACGCCGATTCCAGGGACACTCCTCCGGATTGTAGTGGTCCTGACCCCTCATGTGGTTCCACACTTCCTGAGGCACGTCTGGAAATCGTGATGACCACCAATTACGGATCTCCTCGTCCAGCATCAATTCCCCCTTGTCCTCCTTTTCCATGATGTCCAGCAACGCAAGGGCCTGCTTCTCCGAGAGCACAGGGCAACCACCTCGCAATGCGCATTCAATCCTTCCGCTTTGAGGATGGGTGATTTTGACGCCCGCTGAAGTCCACTGCAGCCTATAGCCCAGCTTCACTAATCGGTGCAATGGAACTATCACTTCCACATTGTCCTTGGTCAGCAACGTGTTATGCTCCTTGACACGGAACAGGGTCGTAGATCCCGATGCCAACTCCACCGTGACAGGAACCAATCCTGTCATTTCATGTGGACGGGCTCGGCGTAAGCCATTGGTTGCACCACCGTCCAAGAGAGCCAACGCTTCACAACCATTTGAGCATTGTGGCTTCAGCTCCTTCAATCGCAGCATCTTCATAGTTCTCAGTGCCTTCAACAGCGAAGTGGCCTCCGTCAACAACTCAGCCGTGGCATCCTTGCCTTGAGGCTTGTCCGACACCACTTCCGCCCTTGCAGTCGGCAATGATCCACCATCTCCACGTGCATCATCGAGCTTACCCGTCTCTGGCATAGGCTTCTCCCCCGTCTCTGGCTTGTCGGAGTCCTTCGCGGTCTTCACCTTTGCCACCCTTTTCGCATCCGGTTTCACTCCCCTGGCCCCATTCGGACAATCCTTCTTCATGTGAAGTCCTCCGCAATTGAAGCAGCGACCCTTCATGTCCGTGGTGTCATGGGCATAGGTGCAATTGGTGCCACGCTTGCACCCTTCCTCACTCTTCCAAAACTTGCAGGCCGGCTTCTGTGCAGACCTATCCTCCAACTCCGTGGCCCCAAAGGATGATGCCATAGCCTTTACAGATGTCACAGTCTGGCTTCCTGCAGTTCCGGTAGTGGCGGTTGTCGGCTGGGACTTCATTGGCGTCGTCAGCGAGACCTCTTCCACCTCCGCCTGCACATACTCAGACAGCTCCATCACTGCTTCCACCGTTGGTGCATAATCCACTCGTAATTCTTGCCTCACGTTTGCAATGCGAAAGGCCATCTGAGCGCCTCCTGATTTGGTGGCACTGTCAACCATGCGCTGCACCGTGACCATGAGAACCACAGGGTCAGGGAGCGTAAGGTGAAGTTCCTGCGCTCTGGTCAGCCATCGTCGCCATAACCTCACTTGTGTCAACAAATCTGCCATCCCCGTGGCAAACTTTGTCTCCACCAAACTTTTGAGGAGTTGCGTTTTTTCCGCCCCTCCTCCCGGCTGGTACGCCACATGTAAGCGGTACAGGATGTGGACCACCGAGAGTTGCCGCCCACTGACAAGATCCCGCCGGAGCTGATCAGGCAATGCCCCCAACAACATTGCAATGCCCTTTGTTCAATCCTCTGCAGTGCAGGCTCAACCACCACCACTGGTTTCGCACGCAGTCGCTCCAGGGGTGTCATTGTCAACCAACGTGCATAGTGCTCCTGCGCAATGGAGAGTGACTCTTCCCGCCAGGCCTTGGCGCTATGCGAAATGTCAGCCATCAAGGGAAAACTCATAGTGAGCCAGTCCCCAAACAAGATCGAAGCTCCCTCAACATTTGGAGAGGGTAGGGCAGGAAGTTCAAGGTTCCTCAACGCCTCCGTCGTCGATGCAGTCGAGGCCCCACCACCAATTCTCACCACCTTCTGCCCAGATCCATGGTCCACCGTAGAGCTCGACAATGGGTGCCGCCCTTGAGGTAGTCCAGGGGGTTGATCCGGTACAGGGTCTCCCAAATGTTGACCACTTGAGACCGTCTTGTAGGAAGTCGTATCCGTTGGTTCACGAGAAGTGCCAAGTCGACGAAGTTCCCTTTGAAATGCTTCCTCAGCTTCCCGGAGAATTCTGGTTCTCAGGGCTTCAACATCCTCCGGACCCGGCGACATCGATCCCGAGTCCTGTGCCATAGGTCCAGCACCTGCCCCAGCAGCCGCCGGAGTGCTCCCACATGTTCGTGCTTCCGCATGACCTCCAGGAAGAAGACCTTCACCTCCAGGTTGACCTCCCTCCACCAAAGTCCGCCTCGCAGCCTCCTGAACACCAGGACTCCAAAAGGGATTGATGTTGGGTGATCTACTTGGTGTCTGTCCCACTCCCTGTCCATAGTCCAAGGCTCGTGGATTCATCAAGCCGCTGCCATCACCAAACAGCCCTCCTCGAGCTCCCGGATCAATGCCAGGTCCAAGAGGCGCAAGTAGACCCTGCCCCTGAGGTTGTCCCGCTAGTGCTTGTTGAAGTGCATGATAAGTTCGTTGGACCGCATCATGAAGTGCCCCCAAACCCACCGTGGAACTGGTCGATGTTGAAGGTGCCCCAACCGGTTCGCTGGTCTTCACCGACTTCAGCGTTGCTGGGCCCACCTCTCCTCCATCTTCCAGTGCCTTGAGATTGCCCTCCGAGGACCCAGTCACAGGCGGTCGAAAGGAGGTTGGTGGACCCCTAGGAGTGCTTCCCACATCCGATGCCCTCCTCGGCCCCACATCCGCCGATCGCGACCTCCTCACCTCTTCCTCTATCTGCGCATCCAGGCGGCGATCCGCTTCGCCGATCACCACCGGCGCCGCCTCCGCAGCTGCCTTGTCGCTCGCTGCTCTTCTCCTTCTCATCGTCGTCGACGACATGGCAGGTCGCTTGGGCTCATAACCTGAGCGTGCGACACCAAAAGCTAAAAAAGCTGCCGCACTTATTTCTTGAGCCAAAGTTCAGGTTGGGTTGGTTTCAGTGCTCATGACTGACGTGTCATCTTCCAAAAAAAGGAAAGGGTGGAGCGGTGCTTAGGATTTCTCAGATTCATTTAATGTCATGTTGTGGCCATTTTCTATCCAGGGCCCTTGAGCACCCCTTTAGCTACGACCCTGTGTGTGCGAGAAACGTTTGCGGACTTCGGGAGCCGATTGAGACCTACGTTTGGACCGTCCATTGCCACACCTTGCGCCCATGCAACCCGTTGCAACGCACACTGCGCTTGGGCGGAACTTGTTCGAAGGTTGTGCCAACCTTGCTCTGTTGGGAATTTCGGAACAGTTTCGGCACTGTATGTTTGATAGGTAGGACCCTCATTGTAGGAATGCTGCTGCTACATTTATCAATGGCCCATTGGTGAGCCAAGATTTCAGTCTACATTGGTGTCAAACTGCTAATTGCTAGCTGCTTGGTCAACGTTGATTTTTGCTTGGTTGTCCTGTTGCCAAATTTGCGTCGCTGAATTTCTGTAATTTATCTTCGACCTCCAAGAAACACATTAGATAAAGACATCTTTGTATGCGATTCGTTCAAGTAACACATCCTTTGCGTAAACTTTGCTCAATGCAGGCCTGATTTATCAATAACAATAGCGTCCCAGTAATTTTTTCAACAAACAACTCCACACATGATCTCGACGATGGCTTGCTATGGGTGGGCATAGCTATACTTGGCATGAAATTGAACGGCTTCAGGGGCTTGCTCCATCGGGCGACTTGGTAACAGCAGTGATGAGGCTGTGCTGAGCCAATGATATCATTAGTGCGAGCTCTTGTTCAAGGAAGCTTCCCCAGCTTAGGGCTTCCTTGAAGAAGCGTGAGCTATCCTGCGTCCTAAGTAGTAGCTCCCTAGGTATTAGCTACTTAAGCCAATACCTCACCTCTACGGCCTACCCCCTAATAGCTTCTTGTTACTAGTAGCGATGCCCTTTGTACTAGTAGCTTCTTGCTCAGGAGCCCCTAGAAGCTTCCTAGGTAGTAGCTACTTAAGCTACTACTAGCTCACCTCTACGGCCCTCCCTCGGCCGTCTGTGCAGCTGCGCTTCATTGAGGAGCTTCTGCAACTCGAATCGCTCTGCTTGCACCACCCGCAGCAGCTCCTGTTTCAAAAACAAAAACATCCTTTTCTTTTCCACCCTGTTCCATCCTTTTCCTACAGATTCGGAAAAACAATGGATCTCTAGTAGTCTCTAGGCCCCAGATCAGGCGGTGCAGTCGAAGTTTAGTAGAACCAGAATACAATACTCTCTCAATATAGATGCCCTGGGACTTAAGTCTCATCCAAGACCTAACTACACGATGCCGCACGCTCTGCAAGTGGTCAAACGGCCCGGCCAAGCCTCCATGGCTGAAGTGCAAACCAACTTTGAGAGCTGAAATGGCCAAGTGACACATGTGCAACACACAGACTGTGCCACATGAATCGCTTTGTGTAGTGCAGGCTCTGCTCACACCATTGGCCAAGAAATCACAGGGTCTATGGTAATGGATACAAATTAGAGGCGTCAGTCCTCTGTGGGATTGTGGATGAATCCTAGTGAAACGGGTGGGCCAAGCTCTTTCCCTTGCCTCTGCCGAGAAGTTCATCACTTCTTGGAGTTCTTCAGGAGCCAAACCTTTGTCGTCTCCCAGAAGCACCAAAAGCTGGCGTATAGGTGGTTCACGCCTGGAAAGATCAGCAATGGAGCAATATATCAGGAAACTCCACATCAATCAATCTGATTCATTCCGAATTTGACTCAACCAGGGGTATGCTCATGCACAGGAACAATCTCACAAGCGGGCTAGGCCGCGCCTCCCTAGCGTTTTTGCAACATCTTCCAGATCCAAACCATCTGGGTCCAAGAGCAGCAATACCGTTTCCACATCATGTGCGAAGCAGTCCTGAAGAAGAAAACATATTTGTAAACCTATCAAGTTCTGTATGTTCAAGTATCTATATAAATAAGACATGGTGATACCTAAATGTTTTGACAAGAGGGACACCGGACACCGAGGGAAAAAAAAACTGAACTGATGACAGCTCTTGTCGGCTCTTGTAGTCAAGTGCTCATTGCCAGCCAAGAAAAAACTGTAGCCGCTGTAGGACACGGTAACCTCAACTTGTCATGACTTGCCAACCCCACGGTCTTGAGAGTCTTGAAGCACAACACGGTACCAGCCCGGTACCGGCATGATGATACCAGCTCCACAAATGCACGGTGTGTCCAAACTGCCTACCGGATCATAGACTCATGTACCACAGGTCTCTCAACATTGATTGAGTGTGAACAAAACAATATACACCAACATGCATTAGCTACAGTATTACATTATGATTGACAAATCTAGAAGCATTTCAATGCTGTCACAACAACGCTGCTTTGGACTGCAACCTTCAGAACATCTGCGAACACAAGTCCTGCAGCGAACCACGTAGTCCACCTGCAACTGATCGTAAGCCCAGCTCCAGGCGGCCTGATTGGCCAGCAGTCCGCTGGTTGGCCTTGAGCAATCAACCAAAATATCAGAAAAGTCATAAGCAGTACTAGCAGTAGCAGTAGCAGTACTCGCACTACTAGCAGTGCAAGTAGTAGTGCCAGTAGCAGCAGTAGTAGTAACAGTAGTAGTAGTAGTATTAGTAGTAGTAAGTAGTAGTAGTAGTAGTAGTAGTAGTAGTAGTAGTAGTAGTAGTAGGAGTAGTAGCAGTAGTAGTAGTGGTGGTAGTACGGTATCGCTTTTTACATATACGATTTTTTTTACAGGTGAACAGGTATTTTAGACTACCTCCGGCAAGGTTTTTGCCAGCCCGGCCCGACCCTTTAAACATACGGAATGAATATACGGTACGATTTAAATATACGGTCAGCTTACGTATGTGCGGCGGCATTTATTTGGTACTGAGCTCAAACGCACTATCTATCATGTGGAGGCCCTATCTCGTTTCGACTACTTAAGTAGAAGGTCATGTCATGTCACAGTATCTCGCTCAGACTATTTTAGTCTTGGTAGTCCCGGTGGTCTTGGTGGTGATTGTGGCAGTCTAGGCGGTTGGTGGTGCTCTTGGTGGTCCCGGTGGCCTTGGTGGTCCGGTCTTGGTGTCTCGGTGGTCTTGGTGGTGATTTCTGCGGTCTAGGCGGTGTTGGTGGTGCTCGGTGGTGCTCGGTGGCCTTGGTGGTCTGGTCTTGGTGTCTTGGTGGTCGGTGGTCTTGGTGGTCCTGGTGGTCTTGGTGGTGATTGTAGCAGTCTACTCTTGGTGGTCTTGGGGGGTGCTGGTGGCCTTGGTGGTCTTGATGGTCTCCGTGGTCTTGCTGGTCTTGGCGGTGATTGTGGCGCTCTAGGCGGTGTTGGTGGTGCTCGGTGGCCTTGGTGGTCCGGTCTTGGTGTCTTGGTGGTCGGTGGCCTTGGTGGTCCGGTCTTGGTATCTTGGTGGTCTGGGGCGGCTTGGGGGTGATGGTGGCGGTCTATTCTTGTTGTTGTGGGGGGTGCTGCTGGCCTTGGCGGTCTTGGTGGTCTCCGTGGTCTTGGTAGTCTTGGTGGTGATTGTGGCGGTCTAGGCGGTGTTGATGGTGCTCTTGGTGGTCTTCGTGGGTATGGTGGCCTTGGGTCCGGTGGTCCAGGCGATCTTGGTGGTCCTGGTGATTGTGGCAGTCTACTCTTGGTGGTCCTGGTGGTCTTGGTGGTGCAATTGGTCTTGGTGGTCCAGGCGGCCCTGGTGGTTTTGATTTGGTGGTGTGGCACCTCCCCATACAACCTGCAGCCCTGAAAGTAGTAAGAGTCCTTGATGAGTTCTACTTCCTGTGAGAGTGTTTGAAAAGCTAGATCGACCTAGTTGCTGGGCAGAAAGCATAAAGTTATGTCTCTACAAAAATCGGGTTCTGTAGGTCCCAAAAACTGTCTCGTTACAACATGGCCTCTCTGTAAGGGCCTCAAGCTCTCCCTTTTCGTAAAAGAAATGTCAACAGTGATTACATTTTAAATATACGGGGAACAAGTATTTTATACTACCTCCGGGGCCGATTGCTCTGGCCCGGCCAGACCCTTTAAATATACGGTGGGAACAGGTATTTTATACTACCTCCGGAGCCGATGGCTCTGGCCAGGCCACCATATATTTAAAAAGCGTTACCGTAGTAGTAGTAGTAGTAGTGGTAGTAGTAGTAGTAGTAGTCGTCTTTTTGGTAGTAGTGTTAGTCGTAGTGATGTAGTGGTGATAGTAGTGATAGTAGTGGTCGTAGTAGTAGTTGTTGTTGTCGTCGTTGTTGGGGGTACGAGGGATGGTGGGTGGAGGACCGGGTAGCTTCGTTGTCTGAACGGTGAAGGACTTGTGCGTTGAGCAAACAGCGAAGACCCGTATCAATCCTTTAAATGTGTTCTGGGTTGCTGGCCACTTGCTACAAACTCCGGTGGTAAACAGGTGCACATTTATGTCAAGGAAAAACATGTCTAAGTCTAAGTTTCAAAAGAAAAACAATGAAAGAACACAAAAAGAAAAAACGGTGTAAACGGTCTTTACAAAAGGACATAAACAATCATACGGAAAGACTGTCAGGTATTTAAAAGCGTTCGTTTGTAACTATGTCTGTGAAATTGTTAAAACAAAGAACATGTTTGTTCTATGTCCCCAAATCTTGATCTGACTTGCCAGGTGACGCTCAGTGCCGCTCGCAGCCGCATCGCCACGGAAGCCTCGTCAGGCCTCAAACCTCGGACTAGCCCACCTGCGAAGAAAGAAAAAGCACAAGCTGCGAGTCCGGTTTTTGTCTTTAATCAAACTGAAAGAACGTATAAACAATATATATATATATATTATATATCAAGTTCATACAAACTAAATTTACAATAGACATACAGAACAACAACAACAACAAGAACAACAGAGTGCAGTCAGCATGATCAGCTGCATGTAAACGCTACCATTGTGGGTTCAGTATATCATACCACTTCCGTACAAGGAGCAATGCATACGATAGGCTTTGACCGCTTTGGCCTAATCCAAAAAGCTCCGTATGAGGAAGGACCGAACTCAATTGACATCTTTGCAGAAGCACCTCCAATCGATTGGCAGTATCCCTTTTGTCTTAACAGCTCAGTTGTTTGGAAACACGTGACCAAATTGTTGGCAGTCATGACGGCGGTCATGTAGATCACACACTTAAGGTTGGGCTGGCGGTCGCAGGGGTTTAGAACAATGGCCACACCTGTCAAAACAGCCGTAGTTCCACGCTCCACATCGACCTGGTTGGCTGGCTTAAGCCATAGGGCCATAGGGCGAAGCACTAAAGCAGTCTCCAGACTCTGCCACCATCAGGAGAAAAGGCAGGTTTCCACAAGCTGTTGTTGCAAGATTGTACTGTGCCGACTTAGATCCTGGGAAACGTTTTCAGATGCCCGTGTTCGAAGCAGCAAAGTATGCCCAAACTGTGTACGCACTTTTGTCCATATTCTTACTGCACATACTTCCTTTACACATATCTTGTGAATCAGGCATCTGCCAAGGCTTCTTGAAGGCCCAGGCCAAAGTCCGCACATCTCCTGAACCCAATCCCACCTGCTTCTCCCAAGCAACTTTGGCGTCACCAGCAGAAAATGTCAATCGAATCTCCTCGATGAGCAGCGGGTAAACACACAGACTCGAGCCGCCAGAGCCCAAACCCTAGACATCGATGTTGCACCTTTTTTTCAGGGTCTCTTAATTCCATCTTGCCGGCTTTGGGCCCCTTCCATTCGACAAAACAGCTACACAGCTACAAGGAACCTAACTAACAATGGCTTCACGCCTCATCGAAAGCACCACAATTCCCATTTCGTATTTGCGATCAACCTTTCGCTGACACTGGTGCCAACACAAAGAGCAAGAACTAGGACCAAACACAATCGGAATCTAGAGGATACAACGCTCCTTTACCACAAACTGTGCAACACATGTCCGATCTGTCGAAGAAAAACATCTTGACAGGTAGAAACTCAAACATGTCGCAGTGCAGGAAAACATTTCATTAGGCATCCCTCCTCAAACCTCTGGCAGGTGCCCAAAAGGTAATTTGATGTAATTTGGTGCATGATGAACCCACATGGTTATTGTCTTCTCACATTCATCAGTTGAACATAAAATAAGGCGCAAATTGGCGGGTTGCTGCTATGTGAGGTGCATGGAATCTGAGAAATTGATATACAACAATACAAGACGACACCATTTCTTCAGGGGAGAGGCCCTGCCAGCATCCTCCTGGACAGTCAAGGCTGAAGCTAAGTATAAGTCGTATCAGTATCAGTATATATATATATGTTTATTTGTCCTCAATGACTAATCAACATGCTGTAGTGGAAGGATGTTTTGGATAACTCCTTACGAGCTCAGCATGCGGTTGAACAATTAGCAGCGACCAATGTTGCCAGAATCATCATTATCTAGAAGCCTCTACAACACCATCATAACATGGAAAAGACATGCACTAAACTAAATAAACTAAACAGAATGACCAAACCGACCACACCCATGGGTGCAACTTTGCATCGCTGTTCCTCCGGTAGGACTCCGAGCGGAAAAGGCAAGCGGTAACACTGCGGCAGCCCACGTCCACTCGTCCAGTCTCAGCTCTGAAAAGGAATCTCCGAGGATGCCTCCAACCGACCTATTATATAGAGATGGCCTCCAACCTAATAGCGATGGCCTCCAATCTAAGAGAGGAAAGACCTATTTTTGGGTTTAAACCTAAAGCCTAAAACCTCTTCGCCTGGCGTTGCTGGGTTGATGCTACATTACAAAATCGCTGACGCTCAAGCAGGTGCAATGGTTTGGACCGGATGGTTTGGACCGGGTCTTCAACAATCTCCCCATTCACAACAATTTCCAGCCAAAGCTCAGTAATGTCCTCAAAGTCCAAGGGCGCTTGATGTAGGGGCATCAAGAAACGCCGGACGCAGCAGCGTTCATCTTCGCACAGAATAAACTGGTCACCTCCCAGGACGGATGCCTTTGAAAGCTACGAACGGGGCTCCTGGCCTTACTACTAGGAGCAAGGACGCTACTAGGGGCTCCTGGCCTTACTACTAGGAACAAGAAGCTACGTGTTGCTAGCATGCTCTTGCAGCCTTTGCTTGACAATGGAATCATAGTGACGATTAGCATTCTGAGGACTATCCAGAATCTAGAACTTCAAAATAGGAACATGTTGAAAGGCCCCATGTCTCCTAGTCTCTCAGAAGATAATTGTTTGGACTAGTGCAGGCTCCACTCTGAGAACGGATGCGCCAAAGCTGTACCGGACTCGCAAAGCTTGCCTATCTGTAGAGTTTGCCCAAATTGGCAAGCACGTGCTAAATGGCCAGTTCGCCCACAAAAATGGCAAACGCTCAGCGGACAGTCCTTGCTATGCAAACGAGCTGGCGAGGGAGGGCTTCAAGCTTTCTTGAACCTCCTGCCTCAACCGGTGAATAGTGTTGACAAAGCAAACGCAAATCCCTCAATGAGAACACGCATACGTACTTTCAAAGATTGACCCACTCAGTTTCAGGCCAACTAAGTCAAGTGGCTCGCGCTAGGTGCTCTTTGGAGCCACAACCTGGCAAAGGCGGCTTCATGCATTTACGGAACCAAGCAAGGAGCGATCGGACGCTACTAGGAGCAAAGGGCATCGCTACTAGGGGCTCCTGGGAACCAGCATCCACTTTCCGGGACTGGAGCTCTTCAAGAAAACCTGGAGCCCCGGTGGAGTCCTGGAGACTCTGAATAATCAGTTCCAGTCCTTACACTTTGAATAAGAATGTGTACATTTAAAAAGAAAAACAACTATATATATATATTATATAGTTTATCTTTTGGGTTGTACTAAGTTACTTGTGTCTTGGTGCCTCCAAAGCAGTTTTTGGGGGTGCAAAGGACCTCTCTAGCCCTCGTTGGTCAGCCTTTGACACAAACACACAGGGAGCAGGCCCAAATGTGTTGCTAAAGCTTTGAGATTTGATTTTCTCTTGCACTGTTCATTATGTATTTTGGACCATTTATTTGGATGTGCGTGGTCGTCTTCCTTCTCTGTATTCCGAAAGCACAGCTTTGCAATCCTTTGCAAAAGTCCAAGTTGCTGTAGCATTCGCTGGGCTCTTTGGGTGGTCGCTGCTTCTGGCGCTCAGCCCACAACAGCCCCAGCTCCCGCTTTAGACCGGGCCCATGTGCCATGGCAATGGCTAGGGCGACTAGGCATTTCGATTGAAGTCGAAACCTTGGTGCTTTGTTCCACCTGCTAAGAGCCAGGTTGGGGAAATGTGTCGGTGCTTTTGCGCAAACACTGAACAGGAACATGTTTTCAAGACTGAACCATGGATCACTACTGGCAAGTGTGGCTGGCGGAGATTAATTACCTATTGAATCCTATATCATTGCTATCAAAACTATAGTGTGCAGTTTTGCACAGCGCATACCATCCATTCAACGATGAAGGGAGTCCAATCTTGTATATAACCATGACAGGATACAAAGAGTCAATCATGTGACATGTGGCAATCTGGGTCCTCAGTGCTCCATCACCACTTGAAGTGTCACTATATGAATTGCTGTTGCAAAGGGACTCTTTTCTGAAGGAGCGGTTCAAAAGGAGGTGCCTCGCATGATAAAGGAAGGCTTCAGATATTCCGTGATTGAAACAAGAAAGCCTTTATGAAAAACGCAACTATATAGTTCTAGGAACAAACAATACAAACTGTTTACCCAAGGTGTTTCAAATTTCAAGCCAACGTATGCATCTCAATCAAGATTCAACACCGTTAAAACTGCAAAACCATGAATGCATAAACCGGTTTGTGACGAATTACACAATTGCACAAGAGACATGGTGTGCGTGCGCTCAGGATGCGGTAACAGTCCGTTCATTTTTGGGGGGGAGGGGCACTGCTAGCTAGATGGTGTGTAAATATGATAAGTAAGTAGTGTGATTTATAGGCAAGTTGAACACCTTAAAATCCCTTCTCTCTTTTCTTTGTATCTGAAGGACTTATGTTGAAATGAAGAGATCCCTGTTGGTGCTTGCAGGATATCAACTACGGCAAAGGGTTTGGTGGAATCTTATATATCCATCAACCGCACAAACACCACCTCAACTGTTGTGCATAATTGACAATGACATTGAAGTCAGCCTTAGCAAATCTTGCATTGGAGACAAGGACCAACGGCCCTCTTTGGCTGAAAGCACGCGTACTAGAAGTTACTAGAATGCTCCAAGTTCTGGACCCTTGCATCATGCCCCTGGAGGATCACCTCTGGTGCAGTGTGGTTAGCCTCACAACACCAGCACTCCTTTATTCTCATAGCAGGTGAGCATGTTGTGAGAGATCCAAGACTTCTTGCTCTTTTCTTGAAACCAGCAAAAAGGACTAGTACCAAAAAATAACGCCCTCAAAAATGCTATCATACTTAACTTGAGCAAAAACAACAGTTGATGCTTGACATGCACTTTGCAGCATCTTTGTATGTTCTCTTCAACAGTTCTGCGCAAGCGCACCCGCTGAGTCTGAGTGCTCAAGAAACAAACATTGACATAAAATCAGCAATCTCGAATTGGCGCAATCTGCATGCAGCTGGGAGAAGTGCTGTCAAGTTGAAAATGCGGACCATAGAATCCTGAGCAAAAATTTGGAGTCGAAACCGCAGTGCTCAACAGTCCTTGTGACTCGGCTCTTGAACTGCTACATACTCAATCGGATAAGGTTAAGGCACCCTCTTGATCTGACCAGAAATCCTATCTTCATGACACCATTCTTGCTGTGCACAGAAGTAGCTTTGAGGGTGCAAGCCCAGAAAGAGTTCTTGAAGTAGTATATGGGTGTAGCCGTAGTAAGTAGTAAGGTCTAAACTAGACGACAACAACAACTGCAGCAGCAGCAGCAACAGTAACAGCTGCAATCCCCAACCAAAAATGAACTACAAACAACAGGTTAACAGGTAGTAGCTAAATCATTCTAATTTATCTATATAGTTTCCAGCAGTAAGGGGTAGCTCAAGGCAAAATCGAGGCCGAGAAGGACCACAGGACATTCGGACTCGGTTCTTTCGCATCTCACCACGCGAGTCTTAATGCTAACGGATGCTAACGGCTACGATACGGAAAGCGCTTTGGTGGAGGTGAGGAGAACCCAATCATTCATTATTCAATCAGTCAAACAGTTACTCAAGCGATCTTGCTGAATTCCTCCAAAACGCTATGGCACCAGCATGTACAGTCTGCAATCCCTGATCTTGTTTCCTGGTAAACGGTAACGCATTGTCAGGAATTGCTTCTAGATTCTAGATCCAACAGGCTCAACAGGTTGCTGATCCACTGCTTGAGGAGCTGGATTCAGGGAACTGCAGTATATCCCCAAGGCTCACATGGAGTGGCACAGGAACCTCCAGCAGTGCAAGCTGGTGTTACCGGACATTTGGAAGAACTGAATCAACACTTTGGTGTGCGGTGCAATATTGCTGAACATGTAACGAAATCATTGTAAAATTACTGTATATAATATATATATAATATATGTATATATATATATATGCACACACACACCAGATTCGGCTGCATAATTGAGGATGGGATGTCCAAATCAAGGCTACCTTGCCTGCTTTGGAACCCAGCCAAGTCCTGCTGCGCCAGTGAACACTTGTTGATTTTGTGTTGACTCATTCCACAGCTTCGACGTGCCGAATGGCCTGTGTTTGAAGCGCAAATATGTATGGCCTCCAACCTAAGAGCGATGGCCTCCAACCTAAGCGCAAATCCCAAAGAGTAGCAAAGTAGCCGGGTGAATCTGGAAAAGTGACGATGGCATGTGTATACTTACCTCAGCACATCTGCATGGCATGAAGTGTCAGGACTTTATCATCTTCTTCGGAGTAGCTCAATGCAGCTTCAACCAGCAACCAGGATTGCGCCAAAATGACGACACTGGCAACCTCTTCCCTCTTTTCAAACAGAAAAGAAAACTGTTCTGCCTGCACTCTCCTACAAACCTGAAAGTGGGAATGGATATGACACCGAGAGCATCAACAGCATTCACTCCACTGAACAATGATGAAACATTTAATTACTCATATTTGATGCATGTTGCAATGGTTATCATATTTCAGAAACACGGTACCTTAGTGTTTTGTGTGTTGCAACGGTCAGTCTCAACTTGCAGTCACAAATAGTGGTAGATTTGAAGGTAGGCTTACAGAAACCATCCCATTCACACTCAGATAAATGCCAGGAGGGCACGAAAGATCACGAAAGGAAAGGGAAACAACACCATATAGTGCCATTTCAAACATGGCACATTATGGGTCTGAAAACATCAAATACTCTTGCCAGGACAAACAGAGTATGTTTCCCATTATTCCGATGGTTTCGTGATCTTGCACTCCATTCATGATGATTGTTTCCATGACCAAAAAGGTGCGTCTTCCAAGGCTTGCTGCATCCACTACATCATTCCTGTCCTGTCCTTCCCTTTCCCTTTGCTTTTCCAGTGTTCCGTTTCTTTCCTTGCCTTTACTTGTAACATTGTGTGCCTTCCTAGTAAAACAAACGTGCCAAATTACACACATTGATGTTACCCGTGGTGGAAACCACTTCCCTTTCCTTCCTGTCCTGTCCTTCCCTTTTCCCTGTCCTTTCGCTTGGCTGTCTTTCCCTTTCGCTTCTCTCCATTATTTCCTTTCAGTTTCCCTTCCCCTTTTCCATCCTTTCCTTCCCCCGCGTGTGCTATCTTAGTACATCTTAGTCTACGCCAATAATATGCAACTATAAGTACTTGGTGTCGCCCATAGTACGGCCATATTCCACGCTAGTAGCTGATCACCTGTCCTTTTCTCTCCTTTTCTTTCCTTTCTGTCCCGAGTCGTGTCCTGTTCTCTTCTTGCCTTTCTCAGACTTGATTGTTTTCCTTCCTTTCCTTTACAGTAATTCCTTCCCTTTTCCTTTCTCAGTTTGTGCTCTTTCAATGAGGTACTATATATATATATATATAGACAATTTCGGGATTGAAGTAGAGTGCTTGTGTTGGTCCTTCCCTGGGTGCGCACTCTTTCTGTTTTGCTAGTTTTCCGTTCATGTGCCATCCTGTCTGTCTCTGATACGTGATGACTCCTTTGCGGCCGGTGATCTGGCATTCTGCTGTACTTTCACTTGTGGCATCTTGCAGTGCTCCGCCTACAAATGTCAGTATTCTTAAACTGCGTCTGAAAAAATTCGATGCCGGGTAGTTTGACGAGTCTGTGTGCACAAAAAACTGGTATTTACATGGTTCTTGTTTCCAACACGTTGGAAAAACATCTCAAACGCAGCTAATGACACATGTCTGGCACCTTTGGAAGCCAAAAACGCTGTAATTAGCGAAGTGTTGGTGAGTCACAATACAATGTACAAAGCACGGTTCTTTACCCGGCTCTGCAGAAATATATATATATATTGTATTATATTGTATATATAGATACTGTTTGCAGTATATTTACAGTACACACATATGCGTACACTATCAACCATCAATCCGACCTTAACCGCGAGTCAGAAGATGTGCCAGATAGAACGCCAGAATGAATGTCAGAAGATATGCCAGAAAGAATGTCACAAAGAATGTCCGAGATAATGTCAGAAGATATGCCAGAAAGAGTGTCAAAGGATATGCCAGAAAGAATGTCAATAGTAATGTCAGAAGATATGCCAAAAAGAATGTCAGAAAGAACGTCAGAAGTAATGTCAAAAAGAATGTCAGAAGATATGCAGAAAGGTATGCCAGAAAGAATGTCAGAAGATATGCCAGAAAGATGCCAGAACGAATGTCAGCAAATTTGCCAGATAAAATGTCAGAATGAATGTCGCACGGAAGATATGCCAGAAAGAATGTCAGGAACTTTTTGCCAGATAAATGTTAGAAAGAATGTCAGAAGATATGCCAGAAAGAGTGCCAAGAGATATGCCAGAAGGAATGTCAGAAAACATGTCAAAAGATATGCCAGAAAGAGTGTCAGAATATATGCAAGAAAGACCAGAAGGACTGACAGAAGATATGCCAGACAGAATGCTAATCACACATGTCTGGCACCTTTGGAAGCCAAAAGAGTTGTAAATAGCAATATGCTTGTGAGTTATAGCGCAATGTACAAAACACGGCTCCTTACCCGGCTCTGCAAGCATTACAGCACTTAAAAATGTATATATATATATATATGTATGTGTGCAGTATATTTACAATATGTGTGCAGTAAATTGACAATACACA